GCCGACGCCATAATGAAAGAACAGAGGTTGACGTCCTTATAGGAATGGACTACTACTGGGATGTAGTCGATCACAAATGCAACCGACAACTTCCATCAGGACTAGTCCAATCCAACACAAAACTCGGACCCGTTTTGTCTGGTAACGCATCACCCGCTTCATCCCGAACCCATTCTGTTTCAGACACAGACCCAACAGAAAACCATCAAGACGCTGCTGAAGTGGAACGCTTAGTCCAACGTCTATTCGGGCTAGAGTCCATGTTTTCCAGAGATGAGGCGGACAACGTGAACGATAGCATAATACAACGCTTTTATGACACACGAACGAAGAACGGTCTTATCTACGTCCAATTCCCGTGGAAGACAGATCATCCACCTCTTGCGGACAACAAAGCGCTTGCAGTTCGAAGATTGGAAAACCAATACAACAAACTTCGTCATAACTCCAAGTTATGGGAAGAATACTGCAAGACTTTCGAACAACAACTGAGGTCAGGAATAATCGAGGATGTAAAGAAAAACTCTACTACAGGAAAACGGGTATACTATATACCCCATCAAGCCGTTCTCAAGGAAGATAGCGCCACTACAAAATTACGTATCGTTTTCGACGCGTCTAGCCACATGAAAGGCGTACCCAAGCCTAAACGATTGCGTCCATCAAGGGCCAACGCTATTGCCAGACTTATGCGGCACCTTACTACGAGCACGCTTGACTCCAGTACTCATTATATCAGACGTGGAAAAGGCATTCCACCAAATCAGGCTACAAGAATCAGAGGGATGCTACGAGATTCCTTTGGCTGAAAGATACCACAAAAGGACCTACAAAAAGTAATATACGCGTCCTTCGTTTCACTCGTATTCCATTCGGCGTCAACGCATCACCGTTCCTACTGAGCATGTCCATAAAATACGCACTGGAAAGGGATGAAAATAACCAGCTGCAGAGAGGAAATCCTTGCCAATACCTACGTCGACAACGTTCTTAATCAGCGCCAAAACGGTCGAAGAAGGCATACGAAAACGAATAAAATGCAAGGACACGTTCTCCAGATGGGCATGAATCTTCGTGAATTCATGTCCAATAACAACGACGTGCTGGAGTCTATTCCAATAGAGGACAGAATGAAAACGTCAAGTAGTACAGTAAAACTTTTGGGTCTTAGATGGAATACTCAAACGGATACAATAAGTGTACCCATCAGAACAATGTCAAAGGAAGTAACAAACAAGAGAACTGCTCTGAAAGCATTTGCATCAACATTCGACCCACTGGGCCTCCTAACCCCACTATTCATTAAAGCAAAAATATTCATACAAGACCTATGGGCCAATAAATTCGCATGGGACGACCCCTTCTGACGAAACTACTGCAGAAAGATGGAAGTGTATCGCAAATGATATTAAAGGATATATCGGAAGTATACCGCGAGTCATAACTACTACAGAGAAAGCTAAGCATGACTTAGTAATTTTCTCGGACGCATCACAGAGAGTTTATGCAGCAGTTGCATACCTAGTATGTCGACCAACGAGATCAAGATCATTCAGCAACTTGGTATTTGCAAAAGCTAAATTAGCAACCATGAAAAAAATCTCAATTCCAAGGACTAGAGTTGCTAGGCTGTGTTCTAGCAACAAAGCTAGTTCGTTTCCTTAGAAAAAAACTTAGAATCTCTCTTAGTT